TACAGAGCTCAACGATTGGAAGCATGGGAGTGGCGGAATGAAATTTAGCAACAAAGAAGGTTTGAACCACCGTTTGCTCTAACAACTAAGGATATTGAGTAAACTTTTAATGTCATTATGCGGCGAACAGAAAATCTCTAGACCTTTCAATTCAGATTCCAGCGAAAAACTGAATCCATAGGCTCCAATGACCTCAAAATTTATAAAAGGACTTGTTTTAGATTCATGTCACGGCCACAGGGGGGAAACATTTCAATCCGGCACCAAAATGATAAAATCACAGATCTAAAACTAATCCAATCTCCCTGGAAGAAATGACATTAACAAAAAAAGAAAACGCACCGTCGCCATTCGCGTCGTGCATGGCATTCCTCCCGCATTTCGCTCGGGTCCGGGAGAACCGGTCCATCGGAGACAAAAAAATCATCATCAATGACACCAATACCGGCGGCAGCATTGCCATTATCAACATCAGTCTCAACCGGATCAAAGGGAGAAACATAGCCCGGATTAGGATTGGAATCTCCGAAGTCGTAAACATCAGACACATTGGGGTTATTCGTGTTTCCAGCGCTGTGGATGTCGGAAATGACGTCGTCTTCGAAAAAGGAAGGAGGAGCATGAGGGTGTTGGTCGGTGCTGGGAGAGAAAGCGGCTAAAGAGTCGAAGCTCTGGGAGGGGTGATGAGTGTCGTAACCGACGTAGCCATCGTCGTCAAAGGGCCGCGATGTGGGCGATTGTTGCTGTTGTTCTTGGTGTTCGTCGTTGCTGAAAGTAGCATAGGAAGCCATTATCGTGAATTCTCTTCCTCTGGATCTCCGGGGTCGGATTGATTTCTGAGATTGTTGAGGTTAGGGAGAAGGAGAAAGGAGTTGTTCTTGCGGTGATGAACGCAGTGTTCGGATCAAGAAAGAGTAATCAGGAAAATCACATAATAAAGAGAGAGATTAGTTGGACGTGATCTCAGTTCCATTAAAAATAAATTAATTATATATAAAAATACCTATCACCTTTACCATATGTTTAAAAAATAGCTAAATTCTTAATTTAAAAAGTTTCAATAATTCAATTTTAAAAAAATTTATTACTATCCTAAAAAAAAATATAAACTTTTAAAAGTAATAATAACGCTTCTTTTATCTCGTTAAAAATTAAAAATAAAAATAAAATTTACTGTCCAATATATAATATATAAATGAAAAACCATTTATCGATAACATCCAATATTACTTTTAAACGTCATTTGTGAGTATTTTTGAAAATTTAGATGTTGGTGATTTCTTATGAATTTATATAAAAATTTCCGAAATTATTAATTTTAATTTAATTTATAAATAACAAATTATTATTTTAAAATGTAATTACACAAACAAATTGTAAGAAGCCTATTGAAAATGTTGTAGTTTTAATGATGTGATAAACTCACCTACACATTGAAATTATGTGTTTGAAGACGTGATTTGTAAGCATAAATTAATTTCACATTAACTTTAATTATTTTTTAAATGCATAATATTTTAATATTTTCCCCATCACATTGTCTAAAGTCACGGTGCCCAATAATTTATGTTACATAACGACCATAGGTCCTGATTTTTAAGTGTTTTTTTTGCATCGACTAAATAAACTTTCACACCGAATCATAAAAAGTGATCGATTACTTTTAGACTTCAAGCTTCAATCACATACTTCTAAACATTAATTGATTTGTTTTTTTCCCATCAATTATATATTCTAAATTTGTAACAACTCAAAACTCACACCTAGTCGATGAACTTACCCTTCCAAGCTATTGTTTGTGTATGGTAGGGATAGATTTCACGCCCTTGTAAGAAATCGTTCTTCATGAGGGGAGAGGGGAACATTTCTTATAAGGGTGTGAAAATCTCTCCGCAATAGACCGTTTTAAAGTTGTGACGTTGACGGCGATACGTAGCGGGCTAAAATAGACAAATTTACTAGTGATGTGCTTGTACGGTTACAAAACTAGCATGTTTTGCATGAAGTAATTTTATGTTGAGTAATGTTCGAGTAATTTTATGTTGGGTAATCTCCCGAAGATTTTACTAAGAAGCTTGTGAATGCTTGCATGAAGTAATTTTATGTCGAGTAATCTCCGGAAGATTTTACTAAGAAACAGGTTGAAAAAACTTGTGCTAGTTTATGAAGATAGTCTCCACTCTTAAACACGAGAAGTAAATAACATGACTATGACGTAGGGGATATAGGGATAAGTTGGAATACACAGGTGTTGAATTCGAATTCCAAATCTTTATCTAAATACGAGTATACATGGAGTATTACAACGATACCAAGTTCATGCGCTTTACACGAGCCTCTACACGTGTGCAAGGAGACTTCCATGCACAGATTCACGCGCACTGAAGGTCAATATTCGCATCCGTGGCACACTCAGTCTATGTAATGATGATATTCAATGAATTATTTTTTAAAAATTTACTCGGATAGTAAGTAGAGATCAAGGAAAGAACCTTTCTCATACAGCCAAATCTCCATCCGTTCTTCCCTGAAAAAAGCAATATTAGAGATGAGTTGTGGTGATCCTTGTGAGAGAGCCGCAGCTAGCCATGGTGGTGTGCAGGGGCCACTCAAGTTTCAAGCGTTTGAATGGTCGAGAAAGGAATGATATAAGCTCATTTTTGTTCATTCTTATCAACAAGTTGCTCCACATCTCCAAGTTCCACTTCATTTTCTCTCCAACCAATATCGTTCTGAAACAATGATTCTATTTGTTCCAAAGATTTCCCCTTGGTTTCTGGAACGAACTTGTAAACAAAGGCAACTGACAGAGCAGATATGAAGGAGAAGATGAAGAATGTTCCACCAACGGTGATTGCTCGAGAAACAGACAAGAAAGACATGGCCACAATCCCACTAGAAACCCTGTTGCCCACTGCTCCAAGCGCGGCTGCTTGGGCTCGCAGCTTCAATGGGAAGATTTCAGACGTCAAAACCCAACACACAGGGCCAATCCCCACTGAAAAGAAGGCCACATTCCCACAAACCCAAAAAATGGCTAAGCCAACGCCAACTTTCCCGTTCCCCAGGAAAGTGAGCGTAAAGCCCAAGCAGAACAAGCAAACAGTCATTCCAATTGTGCTCAGATACAGCAATGGCTTTCTACCTAGCTTGTCAATAAGAACAATGGCAACCACTATGAAACCTGTCTTTGCAAGTCCGACTGCCACGGTTGCTGCAAGCAGCTTGGAGTTACCATGGATTCCAGCTTCTTTGAAGATCTCGGGGCTGTAATATACGGTTGCGTCAATGCCGGTGATCTGTTGGAAACATTGGATTCCAAAGCCAGTGATCAGCATTCGTTTAAGTGCAGGAGAAGGGTTCAAAAACTCTCTCCAAACAGCCTTTTCTTCATACTTTTCTGCACTGGAAATTCCAGCAGCTACTTGGATTTCTGCCAATCTTTCTTCCACCTCCTTCTCATTGTCCATGGTTTTCAGAAGTACGGATCTTGCATCGTCGACTCGATTTTTCAGCACCAACCATCTGGGAGACTCAGGGATGATGAAAAGTGCAAATCCAATGAAGATTGAGGGAAGAATGCCCACAGCAAGCATGATTCTCCAGTTTGTGTGGGCAGGTAGACCAGAGAAAGCAAAATTGGAGACATAGCCAAGTAAAATGCCAAGGTTTATGAAGATCTCAGGGAAGGAAGTGAGTGAGCCTCTAGCAATGGTGGGGGAAATCTCTGCAATGTAAACAGGAGCAATCATAACGCCCAACCCAATGCCAACTCCAGCCAATATTCTGCCGATCAGCAACACTTGAAAGGTAGGTGCCAGTGTCATAATTGCTGCACCAATTTGGAAGACGAGAGCAGCCAAGGCCATTGTCCATTTTCTTCCAATGGCATCAGATGTTTTTCCACCGGCTAAGCTTCCCAGAAGGGAAAGAATGCTCAAAATCCCAACAAGAACTTCTTCCTGTACCTCAGTTATCTTTAAATCTTCCTGAATGAAGATAATCGCCCCACTCATCACACCCACGTCTGGATATCCAAACAAGATGTAAAGACATATGAAATTTAACCATTCTAGAATTTCCACTTCCAGTAAGCAAATAGAAAAGTCAATCTAAACAAGCATCTCACTGAAATGGCAATGAATCAGAACCAGAAGTTTATGATTCGAGGTATTTTTAACGAATCTAAACAAGTATCTCACTGAATCGACGCTATTATGTCTCATTCCAAGCAGCAAAAATCATGAAACTAATCGGAAAAATCCCGCACAAAGCTATTCAAAAGTCGAGAACGATTGGAGCGACCGACAGAAGAAGAAAACATACCGTATCCGAGAAGAACAGAGTTGAGAGAAGCGAAAACAGCACAGGCATATACATATTTCCTCGCACTGGAACTCGCATCGCCTTGATGATGATGGTCATCGAGATCCTCATTGATCTCAGAATCCATTCTCTTGTACTTATTCTTCGCGCCCAATGAAACGCCGGGGAATCCCAAATCTCCGGCCCCATTTTCTTGGACGCCGACCAATCCCATGAGTATGCGATCGGATCGGAAGCCGGCAGGGGATTTTAGATCTGAAAGAAAGGAGACAAGAATGAAGGAAACTCGAGAATTGGGTCGTCCGAATTTCTTAATCTGCAAATTGGTTGCTTGGTGCAGTATTCAATGGCATTGACCTTGGACTAATCCAAAGAACAGCTGCTGCAATTAGACTTAATTAAACTGTTTCCTTTCCCTTTTTGTTTTATTTCTTGTCTCAAAAAAGAAAAAATAATATATATTTTTATTTACTGTTTTGCCATATTTTCTATTAATGGGCCTCAATGGGTTTCAACTCTATTCCGGCCTCAAGTAGAAGCCCAGCTCAAGGTCCAATAAGTAATAAGTGGGCCTAAAGCCCATTTGTTACATATTTCATGGGCCGCGTTTGAGAGTCCACTTTCGCAGAATCGGGGTTAAATACGGGTCTGCGTCGCTAAGTCGGTTTGATATTTGCTTACAACTTTTCCGATTGTCTTCTCTTCGTCAACTGATTCGTTCTGAAATCAGTCATGGTGTTCCTTTCGATCCCAAATCAAAAAACCCTATTCCTTAACGTAAACCCTTCTACTACTTCCATTCTTAACCTGAAGTGGGCAATCGAGGAGGTTTCCCACATACCCGTTTCGCTTCAGCGATTGTTCTTATCTCAAAGCTTTCAAGTTTCAGATTTGAATGATTCTACGCTGCTTTCCCATGTTCGAGTCCATCCGAATTCAACTATAACCCTTCACGTTCCCTTATACGGAGGTATGCAAGCTCCGGTTATACCGAAACCAAGATTGGATTTCTTGAACTCTAAACCTCCTCCGAATTATGTTGCTGGGTTGGGACGTGGTGCGACTGGATTCACGACTAGGTCTGATATTGGTCCTGCTCGGGCTGCTCCGGACCTTCCTGATAGGTCGGCGACGACGATTGGTGGTGCTGCCGCTGCTCCGGCTGGTAGAGGGCGGGGTAAAGGCGGGGAGGAAGAGGAAGAAGATGAAGGAGAGGACAAGGGATATGATGAGAATCAGAAGTTTGATGAATTTGAAGGTAACGATGTAGGGTTGTTCGCATCGGCGGAATATGATGAGGACGATAAGGAGGCTGATGCAGTATGGGAGGCAATCGATAAGCGGATGGATTCGAGAAGAAAGGATAGAAGAGAGGCGAGATTGAAGGAGGAGATCGAGAAGTATCGAGCTTCGAACCCAAAAATCACCGAGCAGTTTGCAGACCTAAAGCGGAAATTGTATACTCTGTCGGCGCAAGAGTGGGAAAGCATTCCGGAAATTGGGGATTATTCATTGAGGAACAAGAAGAAGAGATTTGAGAGCTTTGTGCCTGTGCCAGATACCTTGCTTGAGAAGGCTAGGCAAGAGCAAGAACATGTGACGGCGTTGGATCCTAAGAGCAGAGCTGCAGGCGGGACGGAGACACCATGGGCACAAACCCCGGTTACGGACTTGACTGCCGTCGGTGAGGGTAGAGGTACAGTGTTGTCGTTGAAATTGGATAGGTTATCTGATTCTGTTTCAGGATTGACGGTTGTAGACCCAAAAGGGTATCTCACTGATTTGAAGAGTATGAAGATAACTAGTGATGCAGAGATATCTGATATCAAAAAGGCAAGATTATTACTCAAGAGTGTTACCCAAACAAATCCAAAACATCCGCCTGGTTGGATTGCAGCTGCCAGGTTAGAGGAGGTGGCAGGAAAGATTCAGGCAGCGAGGCAATTAATTCAGAAAGGATGTGAAGAGTGTCCCAAGAACGAGGATGTGTGGTTGGAGGCTTGTAGGCTGGCTAGCCCAGATGAGGCGAAGGCTGTGATTGCTAGGGGGGCAAAGTCAATACCAAATTCAGTGAAATTATGGTTGCAGGCTGCAAAACTGGAGCATGATAATGCCAATAAGAGTAGGGTTTTGAGGAAAGGTTTGGAACATATTCCAGATTCTGTTAGGTTGTGGAAGGCAGTTGTGGAGCTAGCTAATGAAGAGGATGCCAGGCTTCTGCTTCATAGGGCTGTTGAGTGTTGTCCTTTGCATGTTGAATTGTGGCTTGCATTGGCGAGGCTGGAAACTTATGATCGTGCGAAAAAGGTTCTTAATAGTGCAAGGGAGAAGTTGCCCAAGGAGCCAGCTATATGGATAACAGCCGCCAAATTGGAAGAAGCTAATGGGAATACTGCCATGGTTGGAAAGATTATAGAAAAGGGTATAAGAGCTTTACAGAGAGTAGGCGTGGTGATTGATAGAGAGGCTTGGATGAAGGAGGCTGAGGCTGCAGAACGTGCAGGGTCTGTTGCCACCTGCCAAGCAATTATCCATAACACTATAGGAGTTGGGGTTGAGGAGGAAGATAGGAAGAGGACCTGGGTAGCTGATGCGGAGGAGTGTAAAAAGAGGGGTTCGATTGAAACAGCAAGAGCAATTTATGCACATGCACTTACTGTCTTCTTGACTAAAAAGAGTATATGGCTGAAAGCAGCACAGCTTGAAAAGAGCCATGGTACCAGGGAGTCTCTTGATGCTTTACTTCGTAAGGCTGTTACTTACAGGCCACAGGCTGAAGTGTTGTGGCTAATGGGTGCCAAAGAGAAGTGGCTTGCTGGGGATGTTCCTGCTGCTAGATCCATTCTTCAAGAAGCCTATGCAGCCATTCCCAATTCTGAGGAGATTTGGCTTGCAGCATTCAAGCTTGAATTTGAGAATCATGAACCTGAGAGAGCTAGAATGCTTCTTGCTAAAGCTCGGGAAAGAGGAGGCACAGAACGAGTATGGATGAAATCTGCTATTGTTGAGAGAGAACTGGGCAACGCCGAGGAAGAGAGCAGGTTACTGAATGAAGGGCTTAAGCGTTTTCCATCCTTCTTTAAACTGTGGTTAATGCTTGGGCAGTTGGAGGAACGTCTTGGGCACCTGGAGAAGGCTAAGGAAGCTTATGAGTCTGGTTTGAAGCACTGTCCTAGCTGTATACCGCTTTGGCTTTCTCTTGCTCACCTGGAAGAGAAAATGAATGGATTGAGCAAGGCTCGAGCAGTGTTGACCATGGCCAGGAAGAAGAATCCTCAAAACCCTGAACTTTGGCTTGCTGCAGTGCGAGCTGAATTGAGGCATGGCAATAAGAAAGAATCTGATATTTTGATGGCCAAGGCACTGCAAGAATGTCAAAATAGTGGCATATTGTGGGCAGCCTCAATAGAGATGGTACCTCGTCCACAACGTAAAACCAAGAGCATGGATGCACTTAAAAAATGCGATCATGATCCACACGTTATTGCTGCTGTGGCCAAGTTGTTTTGGCATGACAGGAAGGTTGACAAAGCTAGAACATGGCTAAACAGGGCAGTAACTCTTGCTCCTGATATTGGTGATTTCTGGGTTTTGTACTACAAATTCGAACTACAGCATGGTACTGATGAGAATCAAAAGGACGTACTGAAGAGATGTATTGCTGCAGAACCCAAACATGGTGAGAAATGGCAAATGATTTCAAAGGCCGTGGAGAACTCCCATCAGCCAACTGAGGCGATCTTGAAAAAAGTAGTAGTTGCCCTAGGTAAGGAAGAGGGCGCTGCTGAAAATAGCAGAAATTAGCTTTAACATATCTCAGATTTTCGAGCCTCTTTGCTGCTGGTTAAGGCATGTGTGATTTATAAGAACAGCCTGAGTTTTGTTGTTGATTTATTTAATCAATGGCTGAAAATTTGTGGCATATTGAGATTGTCTTGTTATCTGGTTTGCTGTACACATGGTTAACCCTTCCTAGACTGTCGGTGATGGATCTGCTGTTGTAACTTCTTTTACCTACTTCACTATTTAATTAGTATATTCTGATATTTGGATGTTTGGGTGGGGGGCTTCGTATTCTGGGACCTTAATATTTGGATGTTATATGTTGGATTCTTTACTGTTACGTGCGCATACATATCTAGTGCTTCTCGCCAACAATTAATTCATTACGTTTTCACAAACAAAATTTCAGGGTAACTTAAACTATGCATTTTTGCACTTTCTCAATCGAAACTTTTAGGCTTACTTGATAGATGTCGAGGAATGCGCTCAATTAGTGGGCACATTCCGGGCCAATGTATTTGTGTTTCCTGGAATTGAACTTACAATTTGTGATACTACATCTTGTTGTATATATACATCTTTTAAGTGAGATACTTTTCTGGGTGATGTTTAAGTTCTCGAAGTCCAAATAGATGTCGAGTTGAATGCGCTCAATTAGTATCTGTGATGGATCCCACGATTATAACACGTTTGGATGGATAATCTGATTTCTCTCTGTCATCGAGTAGCAGTCGTGTGAGGATGAAGAGACCAAGATGATTAGTCCCAACAGTGGGTTCAAACCCTTCAGCAGTAAAAGTTGGCTCCTTTGCAGTCGGCAGGTAGACAGCAGCATTGCATACAAGCACTCAACATCAAGAAGCATAACCGAGCGGTGGAAGCTATCCACAAATTGCCTCACACTGTCAAGCGGGAAAAGTCTAGATGCACAACAGTATTGTTTACCTTAGCTATGCCTGCTGATTTTGCTGCCATTTGAGATTTAAGGAAGTTCCTGCATGCCATAATTATATGCCGCTTTCCTGTTTCAGCTAGAGCCTTGGCCGTGGCTAGACCCAGTCCTGGGAGAGCTCCTGTGATTTTGTCATTTCCTATAACTTCACATTTACAGAAAATGGAATTCCTGACAGTCCATTGTCCTTCAGCACAACATTTCCAGGGGCGTATACTTCTTTGTGGATGGAATCGTGGGAGAAAAAGAGGCTGCTTGTGAGCCATGAGAAGCAAAGAGTAGAGGGGCTGAAAGAGTTGTAGAGAGCAGAGCGATTATGGAATGAAAGGAACTGAAAAATTGGTATCTGTTTCTTATGGAGGTAGAGAACGATCTTGCTCCTGTACATACCACGTTGACCTCCATCTAACCAGGTTCGTCACTGGAATTCTGTATAGATATACTTTTTTGGTTGCATATTATACTTGTTGAAGGTCAGTCGTCTAAACTATTCTAATAATTATGGGCCATTTAGCTGGAGACCCAGATTGGTTAGGTTGGTTCAAATGGTCCAGTTTTGATATCAATGTCCTGATCTGCAGAATGGAGACCTTGGGTTGCTTTTGGTTTAAGTCTAAACTTTTTCCAAAGATCTCTCGAACATCTGTAAGATCTTCCTTTGCCTTTGTAATCAAATGTGCTACAGAATGGAGAAGAACTCGCTTGTCCACAAGAAAATGGAAAAACCTTGCACTCTGTTAAATGAACAGACCTGTCAAAATTAAGCCCAATCACAAAACACTTGTCCCAATAGAGCTTAAGATCAGACGTCCTCTCAAAAGTATTGAGGTCCTGAACTAAATAGTCCTCCTTTACGTCAAATAAAAGGCACCATATACAAATTGGAGCGGGGGGACAAGTTGTGGGGATGGACCACTTCCTTATATACTTTAAAACCTTTGATGAAACTTTCATCAAACTTCCTTAAGTCAAGCATGTGGTTCCAATAACAAGCTAATACAATTTGACCGCTACATAATCATGGTGATTTTTAAAACCCACTCTAGAGGTTGGCTTAGTGGTCAATAAGAGCGAGAAGGAGTTCAAGTTAGTAGCCACCAAGATTTAATATCCTAGGAATGCCTTCGACAACCAAAAATAGAAGGGTTTGGTACATGTCTCATAACAATAGACGGCTTTTACTCATTCATGATATATGGGGGTGATCTATGAATGAGAAGGTTAGGTTAGGTTTAATTTGTCTCTTGGACGAACGACCATGAGTCGACCTAGGGACATTAGAGCATGTGGAAAAAGTAGAGGAATTTTGGGAGGATGAGTTCAAAGTCCTATACTCACCACTTTTAAATGTTCATCTAGATTAAAACTTAATTTTCATCTCAAAGGAAAAACATCGTTTGAACGAAAAGAAAATAGATCTTTGTTATCCTCATCACACAATCACACACAAGAAATCATTAAAAGGGATTGTTACAATGTGGTGTTCGTCTTTGTAATTATCGAATGCGTAATAAAAAATTTCTTTCCCTCTTATGCATCTAATAATTATAATCAAAACGGTGTTTACAATAAACTAACTCATTATTGGTGGATCATAATTAAAGGTTGGAAAAATAGGAAAGGGTGATGACTGTTTGCACAATGAGTAGGTGTAATTACATCGCAATTTATCCTTTAACATGAACATTTAACTTAACGTGTAAATCCCAAAATCAAAATGAGCTTGAACTTGACGTTGAAATTAATATTGAATTTGGTTAGAAGGTAATTAATTGCAGTTAGAAATGATGGACCTTAATAGTCTATGTTATATTTATATGATATGGTAACACTTTCGGTCCTTTATTTGGAGCTGCACACTACATTATTATGACTGCCAATGTCATGTTTTTGTAATCTATCTTGGCGTCACAGATAAGAAATGGATATCATCCCATAGGCCGGCTGCTGGGGTCCATTCTTTCTCATAAAGCTTCTCATATTTTTTACTTTATCTTTGTTTCTTGTTAATTGGGAGTTTGTTATTAACCATGCTTTTTGTTCTTTCCTTGTTTTTGTCTTTGAACTTATTATTGGGATGGGAAAAGTAAAAAGGATTCCGACTTGACACGCTCATACGTTTCAATTCAATATTGAAATTATATATACTTGAGAGTTGTTGATTATTGGTTTGATCTGGTTAGAACTGTCTCTCAAAGATGCAATGAAGGACAAGGCTCAGCTTGATAATGTTCTTCATTTGAATGTTGATCATAGAACTTGTTGAGTTTTTTTAAGGATAATAAGTTGATGAAAACACATTTAAGTTGCACTTGACACAAAAGAGTAGAGTAGAAAAAGAAGAAGTTCACTTTTTTCTGCTACTGTTGTAGGTTATGCTACGAAGAAGGGAGGGATCTGGAATTGGAGGTTGCTAGTGTTCATGTGTTGGCTACAGGTATTGTTGCTTTTCATGCTTTTCATTTGGCGCCCACTGTGTCCATGCGTGCTAAAAGCTTGGGATTTTGAGCTCCGACTCAGTTTGGTAAATTGATTTTCAAAAGATATTTTCTTTTGGCTTTTCTCATGGATGTTTTATTCTTTAGAGTTGTTCTTCTTTCATAATTACGAGCTTATGTGTGAGATCCCACGTATGTCGACGAAACATTTTTTATAAGGATATGGAAACCTCTGCCTAGTCGACACGTTTTAAAAACCTTGAGGGGAAGCCTGAAAAGAAAAGCCCAAAAAGGACAATATCTACTAGCGGTGGGTTTAGGCTATTACAAATGGTATCAGAGGTAGACACCGACGATGTGACAGCGAGGAGGCTGAGCGCGAAGGGAGGTGGACACGAGGCGGTGTGCCAGCAAGGACGTTGGGCCCCGAAGGGGGGTGGATTGTGAGAGAGAACAAATCATTCTTTATAAGGGTGTAGAAACCAATCCCCAGCAGCCACGTTTTAAAAACCTTGAGGTGAAGCTCGAAAGGGAAAGTCCAAAGAGGACAATATTTGCTGACGGTGGGCTATATTGTTTATAGATGGTGTCAAAATAGTGAGTTGTGAAAAAACAAAACAAAACTGAAAGTGATAAAACAAAAGGTATAGACTAAATCTAAAAGTTACTAATCCTAATTTAGTTCAATATAGTATTGTTTCTGTAAATATCCTTGGCTGTCATAGGCTCACAAAGGGTGTGCTTGGGAGCTCTAGAATAAACATTTCTAGCAAAAGTACTTCAAATGTAGCTACTTTTTCATTCCTAAGAAATCATTTTGATGTTTGATTCTATATCATTGAAAATGCTTTTGAAGGGCGTTTCGATCGAATACTTGACTCAAAAGCATTCTAAAAACACTTTTAACTGCTTTTGATTTTACATGATGATATTGAGGAATACGCAAAACCTTTTGCGAAACGAACTCGTAACCATAGCTGAAGTTATGGGAAGCTTTTTGCTCTACTTCTAGTCTTAGTTTTAGTTTTAGTTGCTTTGGGAAAAGCAGTGAAGCAACAGAACACATATGTGGGACAGAAAGCTCATCATATCAGTTATTCATCAAGCGAAATCTTTGTAAATAGAGAGAGAATATGATATGTAATGATTAATATTATATTACAGTAAGGTGGGAAGCTAAAGTTGCTGTCAAATATGAGAATTAGAATGTCTTGGCTGAAAAACAGAGCCCCTGATGGATGATGGACTCAATCAACGAACTGTGTCCTGCTAGGCTGGCCGGCGCTGAAACTGAACATAACGCATAACAAAAAGCAAAAAAGCCGAAGAAAAACTAAACCAGACGCATGCTTGACAGTGATAGTGATAGTCTCTAGAATCTTGTGCCTTTACTGACATATTGATCGACTGATACTAACAATAGAAAAGGCCCACGGGTGCACTGCCTAGATTTGATTTGATGGCATCCCCACAAGACTGGTAAATATCAGTGCTAAGTGGACTACTGAATTTACGTAAGAATGAAGCTTTAAATGTTTAATCTTCATCCTTGAGAAAGAATGGCTTCATGGAGCAGGATGAAGAAGGGGAAGTTGCAGTTAAGTTGAATTGCTGCATCTGAAGATCAGAGGTAAATGATTCTTGATGAATGGGGTTAGCAAAAGGAAGATGTGGCTGCAGGAGGAGGTTATTGGTGGTGTCCAAATCGTCCCACACAGGGCTACCAGGGCCCCAACCGGCTGGCATCACATTGAGCCAAGCCTCTGCCATTTCTCTCCAAACCATCTCCTGTGACTTTGAGACACCCTCCCCTGCATCCTCTGCTTCGTCTTCGTGTATATTATCCTCTGCCACGGTCTCGTTATTCGGCTCTAACTCGAAGTCATTGTCGAGATTGTTGTTATTGTTTAGTTCCTTTTGAGGAGGCAGCTCTTCACCAGAAGTCTGTGAGGCTTCTTCTTTATCTTTATTCAGAAATAGTTCAGGAAAATTAAGCCTTGCATTCTCTCCTCTCAATTTGAAAGCCTCACGATCGTAGGCCAAGGCAGCGTCTTCTGCAGTGTCGAACGTGCCAAGCCATAGTCGATTCCTGTTTCGAGGAAGACGAATCTCCGCTACCCATTTCCCCCAATGTCTCTGCCTCACTCCTCTGTACAGCTTCGTGGTGTTTAAAGGCCGCACTTGAGGCCTAAACCCTCCCTTTGAGTTTGAATCAAGAGAATCATTCCAATACTGAAGAAATTGCTGATGTTGCTGCTGCTGATGCTGCTGAAACGACGCGAACTCTCCCATGAAGTATGGCGGGTAGCCGAATCCATATTGTGTCGAAGCAGGTGGCGCCAATTGTTGCTGATTATGCGTTGGAAGAAGAGATGGGCGATGAGGCATAGGCGCCACAGGCTCTGTTTTGAATTGATGAGAAAATTGGGGAGTTTCCAGAGCAAAAGGCAATAAAGCTCTTGCAGAAGAAGGGGAAGCATGAGAAACAGAGGAGGCTGGATTCAAGAAAGGAAACGACTGCTGCGAAGTAGAATCCAATGGGTGAATTGGGTCATGGTTTTCAGGGTCACGGATCTTCTTAAAAGGCCGAGGCGAAACAGAGGTCTCATCCTGCTCCGGCTTGCCTTGTCGGCGGCGAAAACTCGATTCGAGATCATTGTGATCAATCTGTTTATCCTCATCCATATGTTGTTCAGTTTGGGTGAGAGAAAAGTTGGAGCAGTCACTGGATTTGAAATGGGACATTATAAATGGAGCAAAACAGGGGAGGGGAAGATGTCATGAAGAAGAAGAAGAAGAAGAAGAAGGAGAGGGCACGTGGGAATTGAGAGAGGTGAAGAAGAATAAGAAGAGGGAATGCGTTTATAAATAGGAAGAAAAAGGAAGAGGATTGGACATGCTTGGACCCACGAATCCAACTCGCATCTTTCTCTCTCTCTCTCTGCTCTCTGTTAACTTAAGCCTTAAACCAATGGCAGCACACAACAAAAAGCACGAGCTTGTGAGTCCATAATAAACACTTCCATCACGGTTTTCCTTTATGAACCGTTACGTATTGTTGTCAGTCTTATGAGAATTTTAAGTGTAAAATTAACGCTAATTTATGAGAATTTTATCAAATTATCATACAATTATAAGCTTTAAAAAATATTTGGAATGTTATCCAAGTTTATTTAAATTTTTTTTTTTAATTCTCATAGTTAAATAATTAAATGAAGTTAGTTAATTTATTTTATTAGGTTAGATTTAATTTTCATTCCTTAATAAATAGATTTTCAGCCCATATAAGATAATTATTCTCAAATCATAAGAATTAAAAAAGAGAAAAAGACAATAATAAACATAAATAATCGTATATATATATATATATATGTGTGTGTGTGTGTGTGTGTGATTATTACGTATTGTTTAAACAAAATATGAAGCCGCGGGGCTTTGCTTTCGGTGGAAGCGTTCAATCCTTCTCTTTAGAAGAAAGAACCAAAAAAAGAAAAAAGAAAAGGTCGGCGATGTAACTGACACGTGTCGGTGCTGGACAATCATTTTCGGCTCCCTTTCCCATGCTCTTCAATCTCTGACTCAGTCAAACACTATGCTGAAAGAGTTGGCCTTTTTCCCAAAAAAAAAGAGAAAAAAAAAAAGAAAAATAATCTAAAATTCTAACCTAGAGCCAATTCTTGACTTATTTATTATTATGTATTATCAAAAATAATCTCGAAGTCCCGGACTTCTGGACGGGTTTTTTCTACCTTAATACAGTTTCTCGTAGTTTTTGTTACCGAGATATTTTTGAAAGTTTTTGGGTAATCCAGTACAATGAGATTTAACGGTTACAAAAATAAGTTAGAATGAGGTGGATTAGGTTGGTTTCAATAAATCCTTATCGAGATTGTGATGAATGACGGTCGTAGAGTCAAGGAGTTGGTGTGTTTTGTGTGGGCACGAAGCCAACCACTCCTTGTTTTGTTGGGAGCCTTTTTCAACCCAAATGACAAGAAACGATGCATGAGTTTTGACAAAGTTAAGAATGAAATAATTAGGCCTTGTCGTTCCTATAATTTCATGCCATTTCTTTAGCTCTGCGCTTCCCATTAGACAGAAAGTGTGTGAACAGTAATGAATGGTGTTTGTGGTTAGGAGTGCTCTACATTTGGGAAATGGAAAACTTCATTGTCATTTCGTTTTCTTCTTCAATACTTGAAAATGAAATGTATTAAGAAAGAATGCTTGAGATCGAACTCAAGAACCTATTCGATAGAACGAGTTTTATTTGTTTTCGTTGCTGTGGTCCGAAGAAAAAAGTTTGTTTTCGTTAAATACTATTTCGATCGTTATGCTTTTGTGAGATCCTACATCGATTGGAAATGAAAACAAAACATTTCTTATAAAAATGTGGAAAACATATCCCTAATAGATGCGTTCTAAAACCATGAGGTTAACGAGCCAAAGCTTGCTAGTGGTGAGTTTGAGCTATTATAATTGGTATTATAGCTAGACATTAAGCAATGTGCCAGTCCAGCGAGGACTTTGGCCCCCAAGAGGGGTGGATTGTGAGATCACACGTCAATTGAAAAGGTGAATAAAACATTCCTTATAAGAGTGTGGAAACTTCTCCCCCGTAGATGCATTTTAAAATTGTGAGGTTGACAATGATATGTAATGAGCTAAAACGAACAATATCTGCTCTGGTAGCGGTGGGCTTAGCCTGTTACAACTTTTGATTATGGTTCATTTTGATCTCACTACTTTTAGAAAATAGGCATAAGGAAGTATTAGTATAGACATAGAAAGAAGAGAGTGATGAGCATGAAAATAAGAGTTTGTCTCGAGCACGATATGCCTTCTCTAGTCGACAATCTTATTAGTTGGTGTCTCCTTAGAGTGAAGCAAGACATTAAGATGCGAGCTATCAGCAACAACTAGCTAGAGCATCTCGTATGAAGGTAGAAGGCATAAAAGCTAACCCTAACGTAAGGAAAGGTAGTTTGAAAGGATAAGATAAGACAAGACGGCTAGACTATGAGATCACATATTGGTTGGAGAGGGAAACGAAACATTCTTTATAAGGGTGTGGAAACCTCTTCCTAGCAAACACGTTTTAAAAACCTTAAAGGAAAGCTCGAAAGAAAAAGCCTCAGGAGAACAATATCTGCTAGCAGATTGAAGGTAAATCAATTTGGTCGCTTCAGAGAAAGCATATTGACCGTGATGAACTAAAGCAAAAAAGTATAAATTTTTTATTAGTTTAGAAAAGAAATCTTTAGTCTTGAAGCAAAAGCAAAATCTAGATGCCTTTAAATCATAAAGCCACAAAGCTAAGATTATGCATACTGTGTGATGATTAGAATCAAAACATAAGCAGAGAGGAAGACATTAGCCTTTATCCATTAGCTTGTTATTGTCTCTTAGCATAACATCAACAGCCACAAACCAAGCAAAGTATATTCCTAAGCTGTTCATCTCAAACATGGAATGAGTGAGACTAGAAGCTATGGAATTCATGCATATATATTGTATATAAGGATTAGTTTGAGACAAAAACAAAGGGTTGCAGGAAGTGAAAGAGCGTTTTCTACTCAACAGAGCAGTTTAGGACAGTGAGTTCAATAGCCGAAAGTATCACTAACTTGCACTTTTAGATAAGTAGAGGTACATGAATAAGCATAGACAACTTAGGAGTATTTGCCTTGGGAGGTGGTCTATGCTTCTTCTTTTTCTACTTGAGATCTGTGCCCATGCTACAAAGATACATACTCTTAGGTAATCGATAATGAAGCGGTGTGAAAAGTAAAATAAAGCATGAAATTGTAAGTTTTCAAGCCGCAGGAGGAAACGAGACTCTGTTGGCGTGATTTTTGAAGAATGAGTTAATAACTCATAGGTTGTGGCTCGGTTATGCAAACCCACTAAAATCACCTCAAAAGCAAGTTTTTATGTACTCGAGGATTCAACGTGAACAATCCATAGCTAAGGTGGAACTAAGTTCATGCCCGAACCGACTACCGTTGAAGAGATATCAGCATCTAATTCTTCATGTGCAATGGGCAGAGCACCAAGGCCCAAAACCCAAAACAAGCCTCACACTTGCCTAAAACAAGCCAGACCCATCTTGGCATACGCTTTCATGAATCAATTCCTTCAACTACACGAATGTACAGTTCAATTATCCTCATGTTTTTACATGATTTGCAGGGAAATCAACACCCTTTTGCTAGCTGAATCCAAAACTAAGATTTGAGGGTATTATTTTGAAGGTGTTGTCTTCTCAAAGCCATGAACTTTGCTGCAATATCATCATAATCTGGCAACTTTGGATGAACATGGGTAGGTTTCTTATCCGGGCATGAATTTGTACGACAAAAATTCACTTTCTGGCTCTCTTTTGGTCGTTCTGGTGGCATTGTCTCTGCCCTTAAATAAAGAGCCTCCCTTTTGTTCCTCAATGAACTTGAAAGCTTCATCTCTTCACAATTCTCCATGGCGTTTGATTTTGTATCATTTGCTGCAACTTTCTTGTTGCCATTATAAGTGAAGACATCATATGTTGTAGAACTCAGATCAGAGCTTGATGGCAGCTCCCTTCTCTTTGTCCTCCTCCTTCCTGGTTTCTTGTAGAAACTTGCCCATTCCATTTCCTTATCTGTTGCTCCTTCTGATCCATTTTGAACGGTTGTAAAGTTTTCACCTTTGATTTGGTGCTTTCCCTCAGTCCCCATTGATCCTTTGACAGAGATTTTTGAGCTGGGATTCTCTATGTCAGTACGAGATTCAGTTGGATCAGTGTCAGTTTGGTTGGATCTGTGTTGGGTAATCTCTGTCTTTGGGAGAGTGGCGGCTGTCTTGAATTTGAAGAGTCTCTGATCTCCCTCTATGTTGGTTGAAGAACAAAGCTCAACCACATCGTCAAGATAAACAATCCTTTCCTCTGGGAACTGAGGCAAACTGTCACAAGAACTGCTTGTTCCTGAATTAGCTTGGTTTATGTGTTGGTCTGGTTTTTCATCAGCTTTTGCAATCCTTGCCACTACCTGAGTTGTTCCAAAATGACCAATAAACAAGAAAATGGTTGGATAAATCTATCAAAATTTGAAATGTATTCTTCACTGGGCCGATGTTGTCTTTTTTGGAATTTCTCTTTCGGACTTCCCCTTAAGGTTTTAAAACGTGTCTGCTGAGGAGAGGTTTCCACATTCTTATTAGGAATGCAGCTAGGAAGAGGTTTCCACACCCCTTATCAAGAATGTTTCGTTCCCCTCTCCAACCGATGTGAGATCTCGCAATCCACCCTCTTTGGGAGCCTAAGGTTCTCATCGACACAACGCCAAATGTTTGGCTCTGATACCATTTGTAATAGTTTAAGTCCACCGCTAGCAAATATTGTCCACTTTGACTCGTTACGTATCGCCGTCGCCAAACATGTTTTAAAATTCGACCATATGTAACTGTTAAAAATAATGAAATATAAGTGGGATCGAAAATCCATGAAACAAAAGTGGATGAAAAGTACAAGAAACCGAAGTAGTCCATTTCTGTTTCTTGGACTTTTGATCCCACTTTTGTTTCATTATTCTTAACATGGTATTAGAGCATCATTCTTAACGGGTCATAGCGAACAATATTTACTAGCAGTGAACTTGAGCGGTTACGTTTTATGGTTAACATGACCAAAATTTTCAAATGTTTTCTTAAAAAATATGGAAACTAGCTTGAAACGAGACAACTTATGAGTGAAACTGACCTGATTTTGGTGCCAATCTGAACGGTATTGAAGAGCTAAAAGCTCAGGTTGGAGACAATCTCTAGCAATTTCATTCATCATTCTCTGCTTATCATCATCCGACACAGGATTTATTAAGAGCTTCTCTTTTATCTGTAAACAAAATTAGTTGGCTAATTAGCTAATCCTCAAACTAATCCGGGACCTAAACAGAGCATAATATGAAGTTTACTGCACCTGGCAATTTACAAGGTTTCCTGGACCAAGCTGAACGGCAGCACTTTCAAACCTACGCCCATAACGCTCTCCAAACAGCTTCC